GATATCCACAAACTCTTTTATTTACCAATTTGCATAATGTCGCTTCTACTCAACACCAGTTTGTGTAAAAACAATTCAGAAAACAAGAAAACGCTTATAGAGCTTTTCTGCAAGAAGGAAGGAGGTGCAGGGTTACTTGCAGCCCTTCTGAATGGAGTTTATATATTCTCTCTGTGCACATGTGGGTTTTCTCCTACAGACCCAAGTAACTTCAAATTACTCAAGTATGAATAAAAAAGGCTACTTAAATTAAATGAATAAAATCACAACTTCTGATTTAATATTTTAAAATGATTATGTTATCAGACTGATAAAGAAATAAAAGTTTAGGTAAAACTCCAGGTGTTTTTTTAAAATAGCAAAACGAATGAAATAAATAACATAATTACTAAATAAATTCCAGCTGAAGAAGCATTTTAACAGGTCYRGTTTTTCTCTTTGTGAAACTGGTGAAACTAGAAGGGTAAAGTACTTCCAGTGACTATATCTACAGTTTACATTTAATTGATCACAAATATCTAAAAAAAAAAAAAAAAAAAAAAAAAAAAAAAAAAAAAAAAAGAAAAAATATTAGAACAAAGATTGTGAACAAGCAAGATGTCTCACTTGAACATGAACTGCAGGCGTGTCTCTGGTGCATTCCTGGTTAAAACATGTTTTTTTCTTTATTCATTGATGTTACTTATGGGGTTTAGAGTATTCAGCAATTTTACTCAAGTAAGAGTARCAAAACTTTCTAATACTATTACTTRGGTAAAGTAAAAATGACCTCCTCTGTCTCACACTCAGTGATTAATGCCGGATGGGACTGATGCCTCCCCATCCTGACCTGGATGGAAAGTYGTGACTTTGAAAATTATTAACAAGAAAATTAGAAGTGGAAAAAGATTTCTAAAGGTGATTTTTGTTCCGTGCACTTTGACAGAGTGAATTATTTATTTAGAGAATGTGTATGAGTCATGTTTACAGCTTATTAGCTGTGCTTATTTGCATGTATTGAAGGAGACYGTTGTTTTTAACAAAGGCTTTCACTTTCAGTCTCTTACAGGTTTTATGCTGATGAGGATGCATAACTATGTAAATATGTTTCTATACTAGGCATTTATACAGAACAAAAAATAGTTTTTTAAATAGAAAACAAAACAAAAAAAAGTAAATCCTCCTGTTTGAAAGTTGGAGGATGTTTAAGTGTTAGATTTATTTATTGCTGCTTAAATTAAAGTTTTTTTCCAGGACTGCAGTAGTTTGGTTGTACAATAACGGCAGCAGGTTCAAATCAAGGATGCGTCAGTCGGCATCCAGTGTTGCCAAATCTTTCATGCAAGTTTCATGTTTGCAGTGGTGACTGCTGCAGAAGGGAACGGCTGTGAAATGAACGCAGTGCATTAATTGTGATATTTTACAAACACATGGTAATCTCTAACCAAAGTGCATCACTCATCCTGCACCATTTGCACAAAGAAAAAAAAATTCAGGGCAATCCCAACAACACATATGTGAAATGGATTTATTTATATTTTTTACCCCATTTTTATATTTAGATCCAGTCAAAGATTAATATCTCATTCTGACATGAGTGCATATCTTACCCTGCGCTGCTTGAGAAGATTTATGCCCCCTTCATGTCCGTGCACTTATAGCTGAGCTACAACTGTGAGGACGCTCTTCTGTTGCAATTCATTCTGATCTGATCCATTTTTTATTCATGTTTGTTACTTTTTACTTCTGAACTTTTCTTAAATATCCATTGATTCAGTTTCTGTGTTTGCCCWGTCCTGTTCTTTCTGGACACATCACAGGACCAACACAGAGACGTGTGGGACAAACGGCTGAACAGAGATAACCCTAAATGTAAAACTAACAGTTAAACTCACTGATGCTGTTTACCTTATTTAATCAGTCCCTGATAATTGACTTTAGCTTGGATTCACCTTCACCTGAGACGTGATAAAATAAAATACAGCATGAGGAAAGATCTGGAACAACAAATGTTTTATTTTATTTTAGCAGCAAGCTGTTTGAGCTTCATGATCATCATGAAATCTTCATCAGTTTTCACATATTTTATCCGGAGCTAACAATCAGCTGATTGGTTTTGGTTAATGAATAACCATGTTTTTAAAAAGGTAAAATGTATAATTTAGAGGTTAAAAGTAGTTGTGATAAAGATATGTGGGTTTAAAAAAGAAAAAGTGAAAACACATATAAACTGGGAAAATGTTGAGCATTTATTCATTAGTTAAAGCTGATTTATTACTTTCATTATTAGTTCCTCCGTGATCATTTCCAACACAAAAACTACCATTCATCACCYCAGGAACGTGTCAACGAGGAACAAAGATAACAAATAAAGGGGGAACTCGAAGTAAAAATAATGTCATCATTAATACAGAAAGTAATTTGTGGGACGTAATGATCAGAGATTCATTTCATAGATAAATGTGGAAACTTTTTCACCACTTCCAACTTTTTTTTTCTTTAACGCTTTCATGAAGGCWATTTTTCTGAAAAGTCTAATCAGAATTTGTGTGGCAGCTTACCACAAGGTTCAAAACAAATAAATAAGTAAAATGTGTGTCATTTACACTAAGTCACAGCAAATTTTAAACAAAATCTTGACACATATTTTAAAATTATGATGCTTTTTTTTAGCAAAGCCACCTCATTGGAGTGATGAGGAAAAACAATTGTTGAATGACGGACAGAATAAAGAGACCCTTTGGGCCAGGTTGGATATTTTGCCACTATAATTATCTGTAATATCTGTCTATGGCCTATTCAACTTTTGTCAGAGGTTTAGGGCATTACTTAACCTTGCTAAGCCTAAGTGGAATGAGTGGGAAAATGATTATCGAGTAGTCATTACAGACGAGGATCTTGTGTTAATAGGTGCTAAATGGTCATTTAGGAAGAAATAAATTAGTCTGAGTGGCTGAGTGGAAGACAGTCTGCTTGCTATTGATGTTTCTTCCAGTCAAACTTTTCGAAAGCTGTAAGGAGGGGACACTACTTTGAACAAAGCCATAAAGAAGACACTTCTAATTAGCAAGCAAAGTTAAAATGGTCAGCTAATGGAGCATCTGAAATCACAGAAAGGCTAAATCTCTTTTTATTTTCCCATCATACTTCAAAACTGTCCGTACTCTCTGTGCTCACCTTGTCCTACTTCGTCTGCTCTTGAAATGATGCTTTTCTAAGCTGCCTAAGCATCTGATATGAGACAAAAAATGTTAACAACCAGCTAATGAGTGTTTGGAAAAAGATGCCAAAGCATTTGCATTTATAGATGTAAACTTCACCYATTTCCATCTCATTGGACATTACTGTAGATCTAAAGAGCTCTAAATACTGATAATTGTAAATAGAAAAAAACATGAACAATTTACACATCCTGTCAAGATCCAAAAACTCTGGAAAAGCTGTTTTCCGTCAAATCCAAACATATGACTTTAATGCATAAAAACAATAAATTAATAATCTTTTGACCTCAATACCATACTGGGAATCATCATGTTTAAAATCCCTCACTGACTCATTAAACTTTACAAGCAAAAACTGCCAATAACTAATTAGGCATTGCACGACGCTTAAATAAAAACAAAGGGTTAATCTTTGTAAAGCCTTGAACTGCAGCACCACTTCACTGTGAACGAACTCATTCGTTTGAACAAAACATCTGCTGAATCATCTCTCACTTCTGAATATGAAAAGCTTTGCATTTATCGTTAAAGGTCATTTAAAAACAATCCCATTGACTGTAGAGAGTCTGACAAACCAAATACAATCGAATTAAAACAATAGAGTCTTTTCTGGGAGGATGAGTTCTGATCAGCTGAGCCAGCGAAGTCTCTCCACGTCAAACTGTGAGCAACTCTATAGCAGAATTTCTGCAAATATAAACTCTATTTGGTTGTAAAATGCATCAGAGGCAATAAATAAGATGAATGCGTTAGTAATGTTGTTTTTTTTACAGTGTCTGTTGGGTTCAAACTTGTATGAACTTCATCTTCTTGCTGATTCAGACAAAGTGGAGAAAACAAAAAGTTTTATGAGCGTCATATCCTCAACAAAGAGCTGCTTGATGGTGTGGTTTGTTGCTTTGCAGAAGGCGAAACTCGTCTGGGGACTTACAGCTTGGAGTATTGTAGCGTTACGATTTCAGCTGCTGTCTGGATCAGATTTCTAGCCCCTTTCATCTCTCTGGGTAAGGTCACTCTAGTTAACATTTACAAAAGATGAGCAGTAATGTGAAATATCAGTTCTGCTTATGTCCTGATGCATCTCAGTAATCCAGGTAAAAAAAATCAAAAAGAAAAAAATTGTATACTGTAGGTCTTCTGGACAGGTTCTTCCCTAATGAAACGTTTCGTCTCTCCTCCAAGAGACTTCTTCAGTCTGAGAGTTTCAGGCAAATTTCAGGCTTTTAAGCACTGCTTCCATGTGACTGATACTCACATCACATGGCTAT